AACCATTTTTTCACCGCAACTATAATTTATATGTCAGCCTAAAACCCACAAAAACCCGAAAAATTCAATAGGGGGGAATAAAAAATCGTTAGTATTAAAAAATGGTTAAATAAACAATTGGGTATTATTATTGAAAGTCTCCTGAAGAGAACCAGGGTTTTCCGATCGAAAAATATTTTTTCAAGAATTTTACTTTTTTTCGATATAGAACAACCCTAGGGGGTGAGAGCATTACAATTCCGACTTTACGACTTTACTGATTTTGGACCACCCTTATGTAGATACATACAGTAAATCGTCCAAACAAAGCGAAGCATATGGTTTTACATACAAAGTGGGCATACCAAATGTGTGCAAAGTGTTAACAGTCTGTTGGAGAGAAAAGTGGAAAAATGTTTATTGTGTGGCATACTTTATGGTAGCTCTACACCAACCCAACTATTTTTCATGCATATAATATACTTTGTATTCTGATATCGCAACTATTAGTTCACTAAGTGCAATTTAGTTCGGTATAGTCCGCATTCACTATTGTTGTATGTAGCTTCTTTAACCCCTTTCATTGTTTTTTGTTGTGTCCTTAATGGCATTTAAGTAAATGTTCAAATTGGAGTTAAAATCTTCATTTACATTTTAATGGACGCTGTTATAGTGCATTGGCTTTGTTTTCTTTATTACTCGGTTGTTTGCTTGGCCACTGCGGAAGTGGGTCCTTAAAAGTAAACTACTTTGATCCTTTTGGCAGATATGCATATGTATGGAATAGTTGGTGCATATGTAGTCCAAGCGAATCAGGGCGCTTCTCAGTAGATCCATAAACAACATATATTTTTTTTGTTGTAAGTTTTTATTGTTGTGCGTTGCCTATTTTTCACTTTGTGACACGTCCTTTTTAATAGTGGTTGCTTATTTACTTGAAGGATCATAATAACATTATCATATCTGTATCGCTTGTTGGACGAGCGTAATATTTCACAAAAAAAAAAAAAACATTAAATATTCGCAAAAAATTTACTTCAATAAAAAATATCTACTAAAAATATAGTTAATGTTTTTTTTCGGCAGAAAAACAGTTTAATCTATCAACAAAGGGGAGCTCGAAGCTTTCAGTCGACTGTTTTGCAATTACATATGTGATCCCCTCAAAAAAATGTCTTTCCTCAAAGTCTTTATTAGACATTTGTTTCAGTGATAAGCTCTTCGTTAGTCCCAAAATTCTTACCGGGCTGGGTTTCTTTCAGGTTATTTTGAAAAAATGTTTTCGGAATCACCGAGTAATTCTACATAGAAATTGGATAGTGGCGTTTGAAGAACAAAAACCAAACTAAAATTTGTGATCCAGTGTATTTTGTTAATAAAATAATGAAATTCTATTTTTCGTAAATTGATTCGCTAGTTTTTTATACAATTGATTCTATGTATATTTGAAATTTAGTACAATGTGAAGCATTTTTTAAGAGATCTTTAGTTTTTAAAATATGTACCACAGTGCCGGAATTTCCAATTTATTTCTCATTTTGGTTTTATTTAAATTTATTTGGGAAAATATTCTTTCAGTATTTGCTTTGGCTATTGGAATGCAAACCATTTTTTAACAAAGGGAAAATGCTTCAATTTTTATCTAAAAATATTTTACTTATCCAGTCAAATCTGAAATTTTAAATTTTTACTATTTACGGGCCTATTCTGCGTTGGTAACCAAAATTTTGTTACCCGTAAATAAAGTTCCTGGTAATTTTTAAACCCCTTTCGCATTCTGCACACTGATAAATTTTGTTACCATCTCATAAGCAGGTAACAAAATATTGCCCCGTGAAGTATGCAACACAAGAATTTATACAAATCTTCATAGCTGAATTGCTGAATAGATTAAATTGTTCCCAAGGTACTTAGAATTGTGGTTACAAGAAGTAGTGTTATTTTTTGGTAACAAAATTTTCCGGTGTGAATATGGCAACATTACTTGACATGTAACCCAAAATTGAATCGCGATTAATCCCTGTTAAAAAAATTAAACCTTATCCTGTGGCTATTGTTTTGTATGGCCCTGAAATTCTAAGGCTATTTAACGATTAATAGATGGGATGAAATGAAAATACCAGAAGAAAAATTTACTCTAGAAAGTGATTGGTTTAACGTCGAAAACGTTTTCTATAGTTTTCTTCAAGTTTTCGAAGACCGAAATGTGCGAAAATTCCATTTTGATGTAACAATGCTTGCTCTCTTGTCACACTACAAGCTCATCTCATTTAAAAGTAAAATTCATTAAACGAGTTAAGCTTCCCCGAGTCGGTCCCTATACCCCTGACCGAGCAAAATTTTTATTTTTTAACTGCAGATACTGACCTTAATTTAAAATTAAATTTTAAAGATATGTAAATATTCTAAAATTATAAATAACCATTCCTTTAGTAGACTTTATAAAAACAAAAAACATTTTCGTATAACGTGCAATCATTCTTAAACTTCCATGTAGTCAGTGCTGTAAGTCCAACCAGCTCTGTAGTTGAAGTGAAAAACTAAATTTTCTAGCTTGCTCAGCGACAGCGCTGCCAAAGAAGGTGTGGCAACTTGTCATAGTCACGCTGCCACATTCGCTTTTAATTAATTCATTTAAATGAAGACTTCTGCTACATTAACTAAGCACTATGTAATGGCAACATTAAGACAACATCAGCGCAAGCGTTGTTGTAGAATAAAAAAAAATTATGGCAGTCACAGAAGTGCAATTTATTACTGGCGATATGTTAATAAGTGTTTGTGTGTCTATTTTGTGTCATCTGCAGCCGTCATCCAGCTAGCACTGAGACTTTCACATCTCCTTTGATTTGTGTCTTCAATATAATTTAAACATTGTAGTTTTATAGTTTTATTTTTATTTTGTTCTTTACTTTTTATTCTTAAGCTCTACTTGGTCAATTGTTTGTGCAATTAATAAAATGAGTTTGAATCTTTAGTCTGTACTCATTTGTCTGATTGCCTGCATGATTGCGCATAGTTTATTTGTTTGTGCCTACTTGTCTGTTACGTATCTACCTCTCTTCTTCTTTTTCACTTCAATCTGTCTGACGGGTCATTAATTTAGACAAATAAGGAAGATTTATTTAAAGCCTCACTTGGACTCGCCATTAATTTTATGATTAGTTGGCTGCACCGACAAATAAAAAAAAAAACTATCGCAGGAAATAAGTTGCTTAATCGGCATAAAATAACAAACTAAAGCAAAAATAAACCAAAACAAAATTTATTTAGTTAATAGCTTTACTTAAGTAACAGCGCTTATTTTTGTGTGTTTATTTAAAGTTCTTGTGTGCTGATTAAAGGAAATTTTCTTTTTCAAGCTCCGCAAATTTATTGTCGGATTGCCCTCCGATTCTCGACGCACATTTCCCATTTATACATACAAATTATGCAAAGTTCTAAAAGTCAATTACACTTGTAAATATGTATGTATGCACGTGTCTTAGGCTTAATTTCTCTGGCGTTTCCCCAAATAAGCTCTGCCTATTTATTTAGGCATGTGTATTTTTAACCCTTTATTGACCTCTGGCCCAATATTGCGACTAATGTCACGCTGTTTTCAATTATAGAGCCACATAACCAAAAATACATATGTATTTACATACTGCGGTGTTTGTTTTTACTTTGATACATTTACATAATTGTAAACTCAAATAACTAAATTATTTTAAAGCGTAGATGTGAGTGTTTTCGTATCTCTTTACGAAATATTACATGTTCAAAACTCAAGATATTTTAGTCAATTTAGGACCATGTCTAGCTTAGAATGATTATTTGTTACGAGTTTTCTTTGTTTGAGATTGGATAGGACAAATCCAAGCCAATTTGGTTAAAAAAAAATATTTAGGGATCACTTAAGCTCAGTATGTAGCGTGGCAAGTAAATTATAACGATTACTTAGCATGAAATTGTATAACGAAAGCGTAAAGGCCCACCTGCCAAATGCACACAGCCTTTTGATGGAAAATTCTTTTTTAAAACTCTAAATTTTTGACTTTCATATAAAGAGCTTCCGAAACTTCATAATGAAGTTGATATGTATGCATGTCCATTAGGGCGCAAAGAGTTGCGTGTTTTCTACCGGAATTATAAAAATTTATTATATCCATATTTATTATATTATATTTATATTTATATACCGATTTCGGGTTTTACCTCCAAAAATCTCATTCTTTTGATCACGTTGATACAATTTTCAGTTTTTTTTTTATCCAGACCTTTTAAGCGTAAACTCTTTTACCATCTGATGTGATTTTGAAAAAAAAAAACAATTTTTAAAAACTTTTTTATTTTATAAAAACTCGATTTTTGGAGGTCTTTTCAAATCTGTCCAGCTCACGTAAATATTAAAAATTTTTCCGAACTATATTGGTGGAAGTCTTTAAATATAATATATTTTATGATTTCCGTGGAAAACCCGCAACTTTTTTTGGTGAAGCAAAATACAGTATATGCCCTTTGCTTTCCTGCGATAGCCTACAACAGTGTTCAGAGGAGAGGCAGACCGAGTGGTCAAACTTTTTAGATATCCAAATATCCTTGACTCAAGCAGAGAAGCTCTTCGAAGTTCGAACTCTTTACCTGTGTAAATTTAAATTTTAGCAGGAAGTGTATACCGCTTTTGTTGGTGAAAAAATTAACGCCAAAAACAATCTTAATTTTGCTAGAATTGCTACATTGCGCCATCAGCCTTCGCTTACGAAATGAGAAGAGGCATTAATATCATAAATAAGTTAACTTTTTACGCAGTGCATCGAAGCTTTTCCTCTCCATGCATCTTCTGCACTAAGTTGTTGTGATTGTAAAGCAAATTGGAACCAAATCGGCTCGTATTTGGGGAGACTGATGAGCGTTTATTTCCCCTTGTTTATCGAGTTCATCCGAGCGTTAAAAACTTTAAATTACATGCATTTAATTTCATTTTCCGAACCTGTGCCATTTTGCTTATAATCATTTCTCTTGTTTTCACTTTCTTGCAGCTACCGATGGGTCAAGAACGGCAAGAAATTCGATTGGCAAGCTTACGACAATCGCATGCTGCAGCAGCCCGGTCGGGGTACGCTCGTAATCACGTCACCCAAGGACGAAGATATGGGTCAGTATCAGTGTTTCGCTGAAAACGAATTCGGTACAGCCACATCGAACTCTGTGTTTGTGCGTAAAGCCGAACTGAATGCATTCAAAGATGAGGTGGCGAAAACGATTGAAACAAACGAAGGTGAACCGTTCTCACTGAGTTGTGAAGCACCGGATGGTTGGCCCAAGCCCATTGTGAACTGGCTGATACAACATTCATTGGATGGCACCATTAAATCGATAAACGATTCGCGCATGACACTCGATCCCGAAGGCACACTCTGGTTCTCGAATGTAACACGTGGAGATGCCTCTGACGATTTCTTCTATGCCTGTTCGGCTACCTCGGTATTCCGTAATGAATACAAAATCGGCAATAAAGTACTATTGGATGTGAAACAGACCGGCATCAGTGCCGCACAGAACAAACAACCACCAAAGAGGCAATACGTGACGCGCAAGAACGAAGTGGCGTTACGTGGTAAACGCGTTGAGCTTTATTGTATTTTTGGTGGCACCCCGCTACCGCAAACGGTGTGGTCCAAGAATGGCGCACCCATACAGTGGAGTGATAGAGTAACGCAGGGTCATTACGGTAAATCGCTGGTCTTCAGGCAGGCAAGTTTCGACGATGAGGGCACCTACACGTGCGACGTTTCTAACGGTGTTGGCAATGCACAATCATACTCCATTAATTTGAAAATTTGGGCCACACCATATTTCACCAAAGAACCAGAGATCCAGAATGCCGCCGAAGATGAATCAGTCGAATTTGAGTGCGCGGCTGCCGGTAATCCCGAACCCACTATTCAATGGATTCACAATGGCAAACCGATTGCACAAGCACCACCCAATCCACGCCGTACTGTACAGAGTAATCGCATTATCATACGCGATCTCGTCAAGGCCGATACCGGAAATTATGGCTGTAACGCTACCAACTCGCTTGGCTATGTCTACAAGGATGTGTACCTAAACGTGTTGGCACTACCACCAGAGATCCAGGAAGCGCCGCGTAAGGAAGCAACAGTCGATGGCAAGAACGTTACATTGCGTTGTCGCGTCTTTGGTGCACCCAAACCACAAGTCAAATGGATACACAACCATCAGGAGTTGACCGGTGGACGTTACAACACACTACCCTCGGGAGATTTGGAGATCCAAGAAGTTGCATTCAGCGATGAGGGCGACTACACTTGCTTTGCCACTAACAAATTCGGCAGCAAATCGGCGAATGGATCGTTGACAGTCATGAAGCGCACAAGCATCATTCACGAGCCACAGAATTATGAGGTTGCCGCTGGAAAATCGGCGACATTCCGTTGTAATGAGGAGCATGACGAAAAACTAGATCTGGAGATTGAATGGTGGAAAGACGGCCAACCCATTGATTTCGAATCGGAGGCACGTTTTGTTAAGACCAATGACAATTCGTTGACCATACCCAAGACTGTTGAATTGGATTCGGGCGAGTACACTTGTGTAGCGCGCACACAGTTGGATGAAGCTTCAGCTAAAGCCAATCTCATAGTACAGGACGTTCCAAACGCGCCACGCCTAGTCGGTATCGTATGCATGGCTAATAGGATAAAAGTCACCTGGGAGCCACAGGGTGACAATCGTTCACCAATTCTATACTACACCCTCGAATTCAATACTTCCTTCACGCCCGACTCTTGGGATATCTCGTATGAGAAGGTTCCCTCCACCGAGGTTGCATTTGTCGTTGATTTAACACCCTGGGCAAACTACACCTTCCGTGTGAAAGCCATCAACAAAATCGGACCGTCGCCGCCATCTGAGAACAGTGAAGTATGCACAACGCCAGCAGATGTGCCCTACAAGAACCCGGACAATGTTCAAGGCATGGGAACTGAGCCCAATAACTTGGTTATATCATGGACTCCAATGCCAGAGATTGATCACAATGCACCGGACTTCCATTACCGCCTCTCATGGAAACGCGATATACCTGCAGCCTCCTGGGAGAGTAGAGACATCTACGATTGGCGGCAGAGTAATATGGTAATACCAGATCAGCCAACCTATGTACCATACCTGATCAAAGTAGTGGCTATAAATCAAAAAGGTGAAGCAAATGTGGCGCCCACAGAAGTTGTAGGCTATTCAGGCGAAGATCGTAAGTAACAATTTCACTAAATGCTTGTATAAGCAGTGACATTTTCTAAATAAAATGTTTTTTTTTTGTTTTATTGAAGGTCCCTTGGAAGCTCCCACTAACTTCAGTATGGTTCAAGTCACAGCCGCTACCACAGCTATGCTGCGCTGGAATCACGTCAGCCCCGAATCAGTACGTGGTCGCTTCAAGGGCTACAAAATCCAAACTTGGACCGAGAAGGAGGGTGAGGAAGCGCTGCGCGAAATACACGTTGATGCGATTTCCGATCAGGCGCTCGTGACACAATTCAAACCCGACTCGAAGAACTTTGCGCGTGTGCTCGCCTACAATGGACGCTTTAATGGCCCACCAAGTGTGGTCATCGACTTTGATACACCGGAAGGTGTGCCATCACCAGTACAATCATTGGATGCCTACCCGCTGGGTTCATCTGCCTTCTGGTTGACATGGAAGAAACCATTGCAACCAAATGGTAAATTGACCGGCTACAAAATCTACTATGAAGAAGTGAAGGGAAGCTATGTAAGCGAGCGACGTGAACTCGAACCGCACATTACCGATCCACGACAGACGAGCACCAAAATGGCTGGTTTGCATCCAAATACTAAGTATAGAATTTCCATAACGGCGACAACAAAAATGGGCGAGGGATCAGAGTGAGTTTGATGAGAAATTTATGAACTGCAGAACCCGTACGAATATTATGTATGAAATTAAATTTATGTTTGCAGGCACTTTATTGAGAAACGTACATTACCCGAGGACTCACAGAAGCCAGCCGTACCTGCATTCGCTTGGGAGCAATTACCATCCGATAATGGTTTTGCTAAATATCGCATAAACTGGCATCCCAGTACCGAAGGACATGCGGGCACACACTTCTACACACAGTACAGGTGCGTAAGGAAATAAATTTAAGTCTAAGGAATATACTTTGTGCTAGAAACTATTTCAGAAACTACTTGGATCAAATAAAGAAAACGCTAGGTTAAAATGTTGTGCTTTTCAAAACCATACCATGTTACAAACAGCACGATTTAAATATATCACAGTTATTTAAAAATTGCCTAAATTTAATCTTTATTTTCCCCACACAGAATCAAAGGTGAGCCCAACTTCGTTAAAGTGGATCCAGAATTTACTAGAGACTTCCAAGAGATCGCTGGTCTTGACCCCGACAATGTTTACGAATTCCGTGTGGTCGCAGTTGATGGACTCCACGAAACACCCAGTGAACTAAGAGAAATCGTTGTTGAAGGACCTACTAAAGTGCCCAATCAGAATGTGGCAAATGCTGGCTGGTTCATTGGCATGATGTTGGCTTTGGCTTTCATTATTATACTTTTCATTATTATTTGCATAATACGACGCAATCGTGGTGGCAAATATGATGTACATGATCGTGAATTGGCGAACGGCCGTCGTGACTATCCGGACGAAGGTGGATTCCATGAATACTCACAGCCGTAAGTTGGAACGAATATTGAGGAAAATTATTGATATCATATTTATATATATATTTAATTTTTTATTTGCAGTTTGGATAACAAGAGCGCTGGTCGCCAATCGGTTAGTTCGGCGAACAAGCCAGGTGTGGAAAGTGATACCGATTCCATGGCTGAATATGGTGATGGTGATACAGGTGAGTCGAAATAAAATAACGATGTAATTAGTTGGAAAATCGCCGCGAGAACAACTTTGTCGCGATATGGCTGTAGAAACGTGTCAAGCTTCCAAAAATATGCATATGTGTGTTTGTAAATCTGTATACGTTTATATGTGCGTGCACAAAAAATCGTGTTCTCGATAAACTAAATTCTATTCACTCTTTTATTTCCTATTATTTTATACATTTATGGGACAATTCCAGCCCTATTCGGACACCATTTGGCTTTTGCATCTCCGATTTTTTTTTTCATAATTTTTTATTTTATAGTACCAATGTGCAGAGGCCTCCCTGAGTTTTTTTTTTTATTTTTTTCAACCGTATTCCTATAAAACTTCAAAGTTTTTAATATAAAATATTGATTGTTAGAATTTTTTTCAAAAAACTGCCTCTCATTCCACAACTTTTAAGCCTAGTTCGATAACGGGATAGCAATGCGATATATTGTTCCAGAATTTTCAAATTAATGGAAAACTACAAAATTTTGTCCAACAAAGTCAGCCTCTCAATTGTTACTAAATACAACATAAAAAAATATTTGAAAAAAATGGGCGATACAAAAGTCGAATGGTGCTCGAATTGGGCTGGAATGCCCCTTTTTACACATTTAATATGTATGTATGTACCCATGTATTTATGTATTTATTATTTTCTTCAATTTGTATAAAATGCGTGTGATTTTGAAAATGAGCACAGCGGCTGTTGTATTAAGAGGCGTTGCAAATAATTTACCCACGGTGCCTGAATTCCGAGATGATGCTGCCAACGCAGCAGCACACATACTTAAACACTAGCCATGACACTCTTTTGCAAATTACAAATTTATAGTAAATTCGTTTGAAAAAATGCTAAGGTAAAAAAAAAATACATTACAATTGCGATTTTTGGGTTAACTAACGCATGAATGAAAATTTTCGGTATTCCGTGTTTATTAACTCATAAATTTCACCTATAAATATTTTATTTACATACATACCATGCGTTTATGGTGAACTTTTTGTTTAAATTGATGGCGAAATAAATTTTTAATAAAACATTAATATTTTCTCTAATTATTTGGCATTTGTTTCTAACATATTTTTGATAGTTAAACGTTTTTCGGCAAACTAATAAATTTCGCATTATCCTGCTTAAAATTAAAACTAAAATTCCATATATTAGATTGGACAAAAACTTAACATGCAAAAAGACTATCTTCAAACTGCCTACTTCCAAAACAGGAGAAGGTTATCAATTCGTCGGAATATTTCTATTTTTTTTTGTTTTATGTATGTTACCGCATAACTTTGGACCACGTTAACCGATTTCGATAATTCTTTTTCTATCGGAAAGGTAGTGTCTCACAGGTGGTCACTTACTCATTTGGTTTAGATCCAATCATTTGATCATGAAAAAATTTACGATACTCCTAAATTTTTATATGAGAATTGAAGTCGTTTTTGTTTTTTGCTTAAAAATTACTTGTTTTTTATTAGATACTACATAGTAAGTTATTTTTACTGTATTTTACAAATTCATCAACTATAAATTCCAGAACATAAATAAATCAAGTGCGTTTGATATACATACATATCAGTCGTAATCGTCCGTACGATTAATGATTACATTTTATTAATCGTTAATCGTCGGTTGTGATTACGATTAATTAATTTTAATCATTAATCGTTAATCCAATTAAAAAATCTGATTGAGTGCTCTGTTTTGTCCGAATTTGAAATCAAACACGGGTTATAGTTTTTTTTTAGTGTTTCACGCTTATAAAAAACGCATAATATATAAAAAAAAATTATTATTATTATTAGTAATACATAAATTGGGAATTTTTATATCCCATCGCACATGTGCAGAGGGATTTTAAAACCTAGTTTGCTTAGCGTCTGCTAAAATAGATTTTAATGAAAATGCACACCAAATTGCATAGATTTATGAGGAAAACCGACTTTGCCATACCCAATTAACTGGCCTTGTGTGCACAGTAAAATTCCAGCATAAATTAATTAATCATAAAACCTACTTAATCAAATTAAGGGTTAATGATTAATAATTAATTTTTTTAATCGCGGCTACGATTAACTGTTTAATCAGATTAAAATTAATCATGATTAACTGTAATGGGATTGAATTTAATCGAGTTAACTAATTGATTAAAAAATCAATCGATTAGGGCCAACACTGATACATATGCATATAAATTTCTTAAACAATTTATTTATTCATTTTATATTTGATCGAGGAAACGGGAAATGTACTGATTGCATGCTTGTATCAGAAACTTAAAAATTCTATCAGTTTTAGATTTTTCAGGCAGTTATTCAGTCATGACTCATGAGCAAAAATATGTGATAACGCCGTGCGATAGTCAATTTTACACACAAAAAAATCAATTTGTTGGCGTAACTAAAGACTAAAAATAGAAATCCTGGCATCAGATTTTTTTTAAGAACTTTGAAATTTCAAAACTTCAAAAAATTATTTAAAAATTTAGTGCAATGTAGACTAACAAGATGGGTATCAAACAACAAAGGAAATTCTGAAGAATTACTCATGATACAATTTTTTCATGCGTAAAGACTAATAGGTGTTGAAAATATGCTTTTAAAATTTTGTCCTTGAATTTCCTTGAAAATTTGCGATATTATTTTTGAAAAGTATATATATTTAACACTAATATACACACGATCTCATTCTAGAATTTCGTACTTCTAACTAAACAGGGAATTTCCAATCCCTATTCGTCCTTGTGAACCAAAAATCTTTATTTTTTTTTAATTCTACTGAATATTCTCTTTCATTTGGTACCCATATTGTTATTTACATTGCTCAGAGTGTTGTTTTCGTTTTGAATAAAAAGTAGTGAAAAATTCACGTGTGTTATTTTAACTTTTTTGTAATACTTTATTGAATTTCTTCCGTGGGCTTAAATGTCCCTACTGCCACTAACGAGGCCCGTGGTTCAATTTCTGCCCCAGCAAGATCATACTAGAACTGGAAACTTTAATTGAGAGGTCAAGAAGTGTATGAAATGAAAAACCGATTTGTTTGATTTAAAAAAAAATCGATTTGGCCTTTACATTTACATTCCTTTGATCTAAGGAATTCTGAAGAAAAGTAGCCTACTTTGGAGCCTTTTTATCAAATTACACAAAAACTCTGCTTATTCCCCTAATTTCCTAATTTTTGGTGTTTTGTAAAGTCGGGTACATCATGCATTTAATTTAATCATGGCCGGTTCAAATCAAAAATTAGGACTTATTTCTGTTAATTAAAAATTCGTTTATAAAAGCCAACATTGGGCAATTAAATATTTAATTTGGAATTATCAATTTGTATATAAACATACTATCTAAAATTGGGCTAAAGGGTTAGTTTTAATTATTTTGAAATGGTTTTATGTTATTGGCTATCAGGCTAAGTCGCCTTTTCCATTCATTCATTTCCATTCGATAAATCTTTTTTCGTTTTAAGTAAATTTGTATATATACATTTTCATCGCATTGGAGTAATTAGTACCTAGTAATGGCCAGTGGTTACTTTTGTAATATAAATTCATTTATTATAAAAAAAAAATGTGTTCGCAGCTCATTTTCATCATCAAATGCAAATAAATGAAAATAACAGAAATTCGAAACTGAAAATTATTGGCCACAAAAATAGTATATAATATAGACAAAAAAAAAATATATGCATAAAAATAATAAATTCGATATCATGGCGAACGAACCGATTAAAGCCATTAAATGGGGTAACGCTTCGCAGCTGCATATCACATTTCAATCGATATTAAAATGTACACATTGGCATAAACTATTCGTATTTTTTTTTTGCGTCGTTGAAGCATTGCGTTTACATATTTACACCATTTGTGATTGTTTGTTGCTTTTTACGCTCTCTTCACCTCAATAACAGCAAAAAACAAAGCATTTGCACTATTATTTTTTAATATTGTTTTTACATGAAAATTGTTATTTGACCGCATTTCTTGTTTTGGTTACTAGTTACATACGTACGTACATAATTTTAGTGTTCACACTTGTTCGTTTTTTGTATTTTAAATAATGTATAATATAATTATTAATTTGTATTTAAATTAAATATTTTGCTAATTTCGTTTTCTGTTTATTAAATATTTTGTTGTTATTATACTTTTCTTTTTAATTTGACCAACACACCAATCACCAACAACAAAATAGGTTTAAATGAAGATGGCTCATTTATTGGTCAATATGGACGTAAAGGACTTTGATTGCAATCAGAGTTCTAATTTTTACATCTTTCCTGTTATCGTATCCGTCAACACAAGCCACTTGAGAAAGAGCATCAGCATTCACGAAAACTACACGAACAACAACAATAAACTAAATACACCTTTTCTTGACTACTGCCAAATAGCATCCAGCCATTAGCGAAAAAAAATAAGAAAGTTGTAAAAGAACTCAACGATGCAGCTCAGAAAAAAAAAATTAACGCACAAAACTGTTAAGCCAGCTATTTTGTATTATATTAATTAATCCACGTTAATTGCAAAATCGAAAAAAGTTATTTGATTTTATGGCAAGCTATATGTTTTAATCCCATCCATATGCCTGCACATTGAACCCAATCAAACACAAACACACTTGCGATCGCGCAAGCCCAGCTAGAATGCGGCGCAAGCACCGATTGACAAGCTGTGTGCATACGCGTGCAGATAAATATTTAAAGCTCTCTTTGTATTTTTTTAAATAAGTGTAGTTTAAAATGTGTTTTATAAAAGAAAAGAAACTGTAAAATTTTATGTTTATGATTGCTTTTATACTGTACGTACAATATTATAATTTATTTTTTATTATTATTATTTTTTTTTATTGTAACTATTCTTAAAATGTATTGCACTTTTAATAATGACTTCTTATGTGTTTTTATTTTATTTTTTTTATTTACTTTTTACTTTTTGTGTTTAGTATTTAGTAACCCTTGCATAACTGTATACTACTCTCATTTATTTTTTACTCTCTTTTTTATTTTATTTTATATGCTTAAATATAGTGTTTTTAATGGATAATTTTTAGCAATAATGTTAAAGTAAAAGAAAAAAATTCAAAAACAATCGAATCGTTTCTTAATAATAATGTAAATTAAAACTATCAACAACAAGTAAGAAGAGAAACAAAAAAACATAGTATACATGTAAAGCTAAGCTATTTGTGTACCTACCATTTTCGTATAAAAGATAAAACAAACACTTAATATGAAAATGAATTTAAAAAGAATTAATTAAAAGCGAAAATGTTCTACACAAAATAAAAATAAACAAAAAAAAGATGTTTTAATACTCGATGGGAACTGAAGAACGTTGACTAATAAAAGCTTAAACGGACGGCAACGTTGATCCAGATTAACTCGGACTTAATCCGGATCAACTGCAGTTAATTTCAGAGCTGATCCGGATCAACGCTACCGTCTGTTTATGCTTTTAGGCAGCCTCTGTTGGTTGGCTGTACAAAATTCACGAGCATGAGAGGGATTTAGATGCTAACATTAATAGAGCGTTTTTCTTTTAATGGCAACAGAAGTCACACCAGGCCGGCAAGCAAATTTTTTACACATTTTTCTTTGAATTTTTCACTTCCGTCAAACGCCCATTTTGTAAGTGAAGTGTCGCATTTCTACCAGGCGCTCAAGTAATAGCGAGAAGGTGACAGCGGAAATGTATTTTCCCCAATATTCAATTTCCAGCGCCTAAAAATATGCTACATTTCGAAACAGCGGTCTGACCAGGGCAAACAAATTTAAATTTTCGCATTTCTACCAGAGGCGCACAGGACTCTTTCGCATCCTGAGTCTAAGTTCTTTTTATGTACATCTACAGAAAATCTATTATTGATTTTTTCTCGCACTTTTACTCGGCGCCCAGCAAGATGAAGCAAGCGATGGCGCAAAACGGTTGGCCAGGACGAAATGTAGTTTCATTTTAGTTAACTAAACTGTCTCACAACAAATGTGTTCATCGATCGTCGAACGAGTTTTAGGCAATCCTCAGATTTTTCCTTGCTGAATTCGAATTTAAATAAAAAATAAAAATTTGCACTTAGTAATTTCTAACCTAAATTAATCGTATGTTTTTTGGAGGTTAGAAAGAAAAAATTTGTGGACCTTAAGAGTTGTGAATTCGTATTCGCAGTTAGCAGTGAAATTTGACTAACTGCGTCGCCCAGAAAATAAATTTTGTGGTACTGCGTTATTAAGGCATTGTCAATTAAGTTTTTTTTTTTTTTTTATTTTAGCTACAGTAATCTTTTCGTTTTAATGACGTCGACAAACGTATTTACATGAATGAGGTAAGAGTATGTAGAGAATTGCATGCTTTTTAAAGTAGAGTGTAGATTAGAAAATTTGTCTGGCATGATTTTAAGCAAATTTAAAAATGTAACCCATATTCCTTGTTATAGTTATTTTTTAACTTTTCTATTTTATTATTTATTTTTATTCTTAATTTGTTTTTTTTTTTTTTTAGTTAACACCTACTTATTTTTATTTAGATAAGTCGGTGCTGGAGATTTAAAAAAAGTAACTTAGATAATATGTTTATCATATGCTGCAGCAAAAAAGATAAATTATATGGATTTTGCCACTGTTACATCAGAACTCTTGCGAAATAAATACTTATTAAACTACACTATATTTATATAGATCTGCGTTATTAATAAATGAAGTTCTGTTATTAACAAAACAAACCGTGGTCTTGGTCAGCTTGGTCTCACTGGTTAATATCTAACACCACACAACCACATAATTTCAACTTTTTCATTAACACCCTATTACAATTTACAGCCCCCCACACAATTGTTTCCATTTACTAATCACCTTATTACTCTCTCCCTCTATCTCCCTAATTTTGCAGCTCAATTCACCGAGGATGGTTCCTTCATAGGTCAATATGTGCCCGGTAAACTACAGCCGCCGGTTAGTCCTCAGCCCATCAACAATACACCAGCAGCGCATCAATCGCCAACAGCGCCGCCAGCGCCAACGCAAGGTACCTCCACTTCGAATACAGCCGCTGTGGCCACCTACGTTTAGGTGATAGCAACTGCTAGTGAACAACAACAATAACAACGGCAGCCTGACAATTAAAACACGAAATGTTAGCTGCAGAATTGCAGAAGGTGTAACAGAGAAGAGAAGTAAACAATTGATGCACGACGAGGCTAGACAAGGCGTGGAGGCAAAGTGTAATTTGTAGCGATTTCAATTAGATTTTATTGTAATGATGAGCGAGCGGTAAATACACACCTACATAAGTACATACAATGGTAGGGGACGAGCGAAAAGAAAGTGAAATCATTGATGAATTCACTTGAATTTGTAGTAAGAATGGCAGTGCAGTTAGAGAGTTTGTATTTTTAAAATCGAAAAGTTATCGGTGTTTAGCGATGCCTAAATAATTGGAAAGAGAAATAAATTAAAAGGCAAACCCAATTAGCAAGAGTACGTTGCTGCAAATGAAGCAAGCAAATAAGAAAATTATTTAAATTATGAAACTCAAAAGCCGCTTATGCTAAATTGAAACAAATATTTATAGTATGTATTTAAGAAAAACAAAATAACACTTATGAATTTGACGAATTTGAATTTAATTTTGCTTTGCTTAAGTGACAGAAGAGGAGCGGGGTAAGGTTGTGATCGTAGTGCTGCATGCATTGACTTTTCTTAGATAAGGGTCACACAAATCGGCTAGCTCGAAGCTTGAAAGCATATAAGCGAAACCTGAAGGCATGAATTAAATAAGTTGCAAAAGTTTTGGATTATATTCTTATTAAGAAATAACATTTTTTCCACAAACATGAATAAGTTAATAGTAATAACAAATATTTTTTCTAAATATGAACCAAATCGGACCATAAACACTGGTTTACCAAGTATATCGACTAGTGCGCCACCTATCGGTGAATTGGTGAATCGGTGAATTGGGTTTCCAGATTTATTCTCTAACGAAACAACCAAACCGTTATCATTAACCCTAAATATGTAACAAAAATGTATATTATCGCATCATTCTACGAACTTTTACATTAATAGTGGATGTATAATATTTTGCTGATCTTTAATTGACCTCATGAAACATCTTTTGACTATTAGATATTATTTAAGGAAAATGCAATCTTCGACCCACCCTAATGTAGCTACATATCGATACGCTCGATAAGACCACATTGGCAGATTTTTCATTTTATCTGATTGTTAATTCCACTGTTGTAGTTAAACAATAAATTCCAGATTTTTCTAAACACTGATGATTTATTTTTGCCCGAATTCTAGTCTCTCGCGATTCTAGCTGTGACAGGTTTCAATGTATCTGATCGCAGAATGACATTCAAAATTTGTTTTCCTTAGTGTTTAGAGGTGGGTACTATAACTCTGAAGGACCGTGGTGAGATGCTTAGTCCGCCCAACATCAAACATTTTTCGGTATAGCGTTCGGCCCTCAGCAGGCAATGGAGAACCTCTAAGTTTAGTGTCGGGCTTTTTTACATTAATCTTTTTGTTTTAAACTTATTCCCGAAAGTATACTCCATTTTTTTTTTGGCAAGAAAAAGTGAATTTTTTTTATAAGGAGTTTTCTAATAACCCGACAGCCCGCGTAAAAAAGGATCACGTGTATTTAAAATTATGTTTTAAGTAGGATAAAACAAGGGAATGAAATAATCGAATGATTTCATGAATTTTTTTCACAAAAATATATTCCAACAAAATGACTACATAACAACTTCGCACAAAAATATGCCGCGAAAAATATTTATATTTAAAAATATATATTTATGAAAGCACGATTTAAATTATTTATCTGCGCGTTTTTAGCTATTTGATAGCATGTTTTTGAGATAACACAGAGCCGAAACCGGTTTGTCCGCAAACCAAATTTGACAAGAGATGACGGAAAATCGTTCCAGAATACATCATACTCCTACGCTGTCGGAAACACCAACAACTAAAATGAGAAAATTATATTGCCTTGTTAACGTTAATTAAAAAAAAAAATAAAAAATAGAATGCATGCAGCGCTACTTGCATCAAATATCCGCTTTCAAAGCTGTAAATGCAAATGCAACGTGAGCCTTTTTTCTAAAAACAAAATGAAAATACATATAAACAAAATACAATGAACCTATACCAAGCTAAATAAAATGTACTATTATTAAATGTATTTGTAGCTTCATTAAGCTGATGATTGTGTTAAGTTGTTGTTATAAGAAAGAGCAGCTAAAGAGTAAAATAAAGACGAATAAATGAAATCAGTTTAATTAATTGCTAGTGCAAAATATTATTACAAAAATGCATACGTTTTGTAAAATGTACGAAAAATTAAAAGCGCCAATTTACTTTGCAATTAACTTAAAACAAAAAAAAAAATTGAATCCCATTGAGCTGGAAAAAATATTTAAATTTATTTGGCGAGCCTTATGCGTTGAGCTTACAAAAAACTAAAAAATAAAATAAAAACTAAAAACTAATGTACATTTGTTTAATTATTACCTACTAATTTTTGCAAGCCTTTTAAATGTAATGTAAACAAGTACGTAAGTGTGTGTGTGAATTATTATAATAGTACATGCAAAAACAAACGAATCTCAATGTGTGTATGCAAAATAAGAAACAAATAATAATAAAGATAACGAAAATTATAAAAAAAAAATATACAACAGTCCAATTTAAATTTTTTTTTAATTCTTACCAACTTAACTAAATGTTTTCACATCCGACTAAACAAAACAGAAAAAGATTAACATTTTTAATCAGAAAAGAATGCAAACAATTGCAACCGCTTATTGTGAATATCATTTGTGCTGCCAGTGTTTGCTTAAAACTTGAAACGTATTACAACAACAAAGTAGTAACTGCATACACCCATATTCGTAGTTGTATGTAAAATAATGTATGTAAAACAACTTTTTTATATATGTACGTATGTATGTAAAATAAATTAAACAAATTTTTACACATCGCAGGTTAGAAATACATAAATAATTATATGAAAAATATCGAATTGCTGTTCACAAGTAAATAAATTTAGTTTAATATTAGTTTTATAGCATTTTTTTTTTGCTTAATTTGAATTTTAATACAACAGAATCAAATAGCAGAAAACGCGTGAATGCGTAACTTAATAATATATATACATATATAGTTCACAAATATGTAAGTAGTTTTCTAAAAGCTTGAAGGCACATGTAATATAAATAAGTAACAACAATAATTAA